CAACATTTTTTACAGCAGTATGATCTTCAACACTGAGTTTAGTTAATGTTTGAGCAGTTTTAATTTCAGGGGTTATTTATTTCTTCCAATCCCAAAATAATTTTTAAAACACCATAATAACAAAAAAGGGCAGAACCTAAAGTTTGCATTTCTCGCCCAAATATTATTTTTCCTTAATTTTTCTCTTAAGGACAGTTTTTCTTTTGCAATGGAAACTAACTAGAAGAAATAGCGTTGGGAGAAAAAGTATTTTGTATTATAGGAAGGAATTTGAAATTTAGGGTTAAAACAGAGAAGGCGGGAAGGGGTAATTGGGAAGAATTTTTCAGTGCTTCTTTCTGTGAATTACTTCCTTCTATCTTCTGTCTCAGTTTAGTGACAAGGGGTTAGGACTCATTAGCAATTCCCGCCTTGTGCTGATTTCATGAGTCAAATATACTCATTCGCTGAGAGCAATCTGTACCTACCAAGGTTACAATCTTCGAAGATTTCCTGGTTATTTTTTATTAAAATGGTAGTTGTGAAGCTGGTTTAGGAGGAAAGAACAGCTGTGTTTTTCAGGTTCTCGTGATCTGGATCTTTCTAAATCATACAGTAAATAGTTATGAACGAATCCAGAAGAAAATCCAAGATTTTTGGGGAGCAGTTTTAAAAATCAATGCATGTTGTTTTAACTAAATATAAAACAAAAAGATGGTCTGTTCCCCTGTCCATCCAGCCCTCCCACCTGGTTATCCAGACTACAGGTTACTTGAAAGTCAAATAAAAGTAATGATCTTGATTCCCCCTCCCAATTATTATTGACAACTTAAAACAGAGAAGATATGATAAAGTGATGAAAGGAGGCGAGTATCCATTTTTCCATTCGAAATTATTCTTACTCTATATTTCATGAGAATCTTGTTCCTTTTTTACTTCTAGAACAAAATGTGGTCTAGTACTTTTTTGGGAGGGGGGGCAAGGCCATCTCAGGAATCTTCTAAATAAAAATAATTTGCCATCCTAGGTTGAACAAAACATACAGTACTAAAACACTACTGAGAATCAGTAGTGGCAACGAATAGGTAAATTTTAATGTTTAATTTGGTAAATATTGATAAGCACAACCCATATAAAACCTCTTTTGGGGTACCCCATATTTTAAAAGCGGGGAGGTAAAAATTTTAAAATGTTTAAGAAACTCTGCTCTGAAGGAAAAAAAATATTTAGAGCAAATAAAGAGCAAATAACTCTGGTAACAAATGGCTGATTATCAGTTGTTCTGCACTGCCTTTCTATTGCTGCTCTTAATTTAAAATAGATTTAATTTTCTTCTCTACTGTACAGTCTTCTGTAAAGTGAAATTTATGCCTGACTTTTAAGCTATTAAGCTGAAGACTCTAAGTAACTACTGGAAACAGAAGATTGTTGAGAAGAAAAATGTAAGGGATACCAGTCATTTTTTAATCTGACATCCAAGCAGGGGGGAAAAGTGGGGGGGAAAGACACCAGTTTCCTTGTTACAAACCAACTACAGCACACAAATAATCCCCACATTCAGATTTCTAGAACATGTGTGAATATTCAAATATCCAGCACGTCTCTGAACATCTGGCACAAATTTAAGCGTGATAAAAATTGTACTTTAGCAACAGCATATGCGTCAGTGAAGCCATTTTCTCAAGATATTGATTGGTATAACTTACACTTACCAATTTGATTGTTGGGATTTTTTAAATGTGAAAATGTGGTCTGATTCTTCCCATAAAAAGGTTTATTTGTTACAGATGAGCTGTTTTCAAAATAGGGAAGAGATTTTCAAACATAAATTAGGAACGACTTGTAATCCTAGCTGGAAATGAAATACATAAAAACCTTACCTCTTAACCAACTATTGGCACAAAGTGTGTTTTCAGGAGCCTGTTTGCTGCAGCTCTGCGTCTCGAAGTATATTCAGAGTAGGTATAAAATCAGCTACCATATCCAAGGTAGTTTTAGCTGCTTCTGGCACTCTGTTAAATGAAACGGTACTTTTGTTTCTTATTTGTGGGGGTTGGAAATTAAGCGTCCTTTATTGTGGACCATACTTTACTGGTCTCTCTATAAATTAGCAAAGAAGTCAGCCAATCCTGGAATTCAGAAGACAAGCCATGGTTACCCTTAGCCCCGAGGAACATTTCAGTCTGTTAAATATTAGCTTGTAATGAACTCATTAATACTTTGAATAGTAGGAGCCCAATCTTGCATTGGTCTCTTACCGAAAGTTAGTGGATCTAATGAAAGTCATTTACATACTCATCAAAATCTTAACCACTACTCTTTTAAGTTTATAAATGACAGATGAAACAGCAACAGCATATGCCCAAGCAGTCATGTGCTACTGAAATAACTTTTATCCAGCAGTGTGAAAAAGTCCTTAAATATTCATGCTAATACATTTTATTTTTATTTTTACCCTTGAAGCAGAGAAAGGTCATTGGTAGCCATTATTCTCCAGGCTTGGTTTAGCAATGTGTGGCTGGGAATCAAAAAATGTTTGCTTCAGTAAAAATGCTATATATATAGGGATATGTCCAGTTGGGCTAGCCAATATAACGTTAAATTCCATCTAACAGATGGATGACCATACACACTTGTTTAAAAATTAAATGAAAAATGGACAGCAATAAAGCAAATCTTGCCCCAACAATAGGACAGAATAATTATGGTTGCAAATATTTCATATTTCCACTCTCATTTTATTGCTAATTGAGAGACAAAATATTACTTGAATTTTGCTGATCAAGTATACAATCAATAAATCTAGACACTCAGGCAGCATTTAAATCATGCAATATAAAACATTAAAAATATTTGAAGAGAGAGGCTAACAATTAAAAAGCAGCAGAATCCAATTTATTTTTTATGGTTGTTTCAATTAAGAGACAGGTCTACAGCCATCGTGACAGTGCTGGATATTTATAGTCTCTTTTTAGAATCACACAAATGTAAGTTTAAATCTAAAATCAGTGATCAGAAAGAGAATCACACTGCAATCTTATGCCAATTAATTCACCACTACAGTTAGTTGAGTGGCTTTGCTTACTTAGTAGGTGCACAAAAAATAATAACTATTACTCTTGTGTTGGATTTGGAAAATAGATAGAGAAGGATTTCCTCTTGCGCCAATGTTTCAGGTACAGGTTATTGTGACATTTGATGGTGCTTAATTCTCCTCTGACATCTCAAATTTTGTGTAAAAGAATTCTGGCTTACATTATAATGTGTGAATTGACCTAAGTGTGGTGCATTCATATCCTGAAACATAGTTCTTCAATTTAAAAAAAGTATGTGTGCAAAATGTACTTAACTAGTGGCAAATCTACACAAAATCATTCTCAGTCGATTATTTACAAAAAAAGAGAGATGTTTCTAGCTCCTCCTTAAATTCTAGGTTGTTTACAATAATTGTGAAAGATTAGACAAAACATATTCTATATGCTTGTAAAACACATATATTACTAAAATCCCATTCAGAAATCTAAATATTTATAGGAATAAGCCCAAAAATTGATATAAGTTTTGTGTGTTTTTAACAGTGCTGTGCTGCCTTATGTTCATATTTCTTTCTTTTTAAATAATTGAATAAACATTAAAAACAATTGAACACAATGCGACTTTCTTGGCCATCATTTTGGCCGTACTATATTATAGAGATACACATAACAGTTAATTTCCTTTTTCCCTTGTTATTAGTATAGTACTAGCTGTATATTATTTCTATTTACATTTATCTACAATTATATACCTATTTACACCCATCTTTTATACTCATGCATTCATATCATCTCGTATTTGTCCATTATATTCCATTCTCTTTGGTTTACGAAACTATAACTTTCATTCCTATAAAGCGTCAACCCTTTCTTTCTTTTTCCTTGACTCTAGACATTGATACATTTTACTCCAGGCTTCATAATACTCCGCCTCACCCTTATCTTTGATTTCTAAAGTTAGTCTGTCCATCTCTGCACAGACTAATATTTTCCTTATTATGATGTCCCTATTTCTGGCTTCATCTGAGCCTATATTTTTGTACTACGTTTTCCTCCTGGCTTTTCTTGTAAAATTCTGGTATGGTTTGAGTGGCATTTCATTTAGACGACAGAATCCCAATTCCCTCAGTTGTCACCTGTCTAGATTATAAAGCAAATGGCGCAGTATTAAATTAGAGAGATGAAGAGCGATTTGTCTGAGCTGATTGGCCTTATCTGAATAGTTCTCAGAGCGCACTTTAATGAAAGTAAAGAGGGTTAAAATGAAATATTGGTTCTAACCAGAGGTGGCATTCAGCAGGTTCTGGCCAGTTCTGGAGAACTGGTAGGGGAAATTTTGAGTAGTTCCGAGAACCGGCAAGTACCACCTCTGACTGGCCCTGCTCCCATCTATTCCCTGCCTCCCACTGAGTCCCAGCTGATCAGCTGGGTCTTCTTTGGTTCCCCTGCACAGGAGAACGGAGCTGGAAAGCAGGTTAGTGGGGTGGGGAGGGAATGGGGATTTTGCAGTAACTTTCCCCTGCTACGCCTACCAAGCCACGGCCACCAAGCCAAGCCACACCCACAGAACCGGGAGTAAATTTTTTTGAATCTCACAACTGACTTAAACTATTAATCCTCCAAAGCACCTGAAGGCAAGACAAGAAGCAATGGATGGAAACTAATCGAGGAGAGAACCGACTTAGAGATGAGGACAAATTTCCTGACAGTGAGAACAATTAACAAGTAACCAGTGGAACGACTTGTCTCCAGAAGTTCTGAGTTTTTAAGAAGAGATTGGACAACCATTTGTCCGGAATGGTATAGGGGTTGGACTAGAAGACCTCTAAGAGCCCTGTAAAATTCTGTTAAGTTCTGGTATTTTTTTCCTACTCATAGTGAATGATCTCATCTTCCTTTTTATTCTCCAAATGAAGGTCCCCCTGAAACATCTCCTAGTCAAAAAAAAAACACATCTAACGATGTAAGTGGTTTAATTGAGTTTGCCACAAAGCTTTATTTAACCAAAAAAATTCTACCGCCACAGCTTCCAAACATGGCTGTCAATTACAAATGTTTCCAATTCCACCACTTCGGGGGGGGAAAAAGAAAAGAAATTGGGATTAAGGCAGGACATGTTTTGAGGATTTTGTTTCATGCAAGAGCATATTCAAATGTCCCTTTATCGAGCCCTTCAACTTCGCCCTCCCAGGTGGAGGAAGGCATACTGCTGTAGGGGTCCAATAAGATTTTGAAGCATCGGATGATCAAAAGTCCCAGAAAGACACAGAGGATCCCCACAAAGGCGAAACCGGTTTTCTGCTCCAGGGTCAGCGGGAAACTGGACACCTCATTGACGCTCATGGTCACTGAGGTGTTGTTGCAGTAGCTACTGCTCATCTCTGGGCCTCACATTCTGCTGATTCAGGATTCGCACTTCATCTGTAACAAAACACAACGAGAGAACAGAGACCGTTTTGGATCTGAGGAAGAGGTCTCGGAGGTCTAGCCATCCCCGCCCAGCATCCAAGGATAGGAGGAACAGGCCTGCTTTTAGGGGATTCAATCAATGGTCTCTTCGGGTTGGATTTATGAGAGGGTGACAGGGATGGGTTCACAAAATGGCTGACAAGATGTCTATAATTGGACATCTCGACATCCCTCAGACACAGCAACATCTCCTGGGTGACTTCTCTTGACCCTTATGACTTCTTGATGTGGCCCAAATGTTAGTATCAACTCATAAAATATTTCTCTGGTCTTTTTAGAGTTGCCAACAGAAAGGGAGGGAGGAGCAGTGCAGCAGCTTGCAAACTGAAAGTGCATTCCATAAATGTTTTCAAAGATAGTAACTAGGTGACCGAAGTTTCTGCCATGCAAAATTCTAACTGGACTGCATGATTGATGACTCTTGGCTATGGATGTGTCCTATTGGAGAATATGAATTATGATACACCCAGAGGGATGGGGGAAAACCAAGGGTCAAGGGTGACAATGAATGATGTGTCTCAGAGTCAGCTACACCCAGGCAGTGCCGGCCATTTTAACTCCCAATAAATCCTTTTGAAGTTTTGGAAGTTTGGCTCGAGACTCATGATTTAAATGGGGTTAAGTGCTGGAATCCTGACAGATTTATTGAGAGGATGATGCAGATGGGCTAAAAAACAGCTGCCAAGATGTCTGCGATAGGACATCTCGACATCCCTCAGACACAGCAACACCTGGATGACTTCTCTTGACCCTTCTGAGTTCTTGGTGTGGCCCAAAGGCATTCTGGGAAATAACTATGAAGCTAGAGACGGTTGCTTTATTTTGCAGTATACCAGCTTCCTTTTTTTTTTTAACAAGCCAGGTGAGGCAGGAAGTCCAGGACACACCAAGGAAGGTATCTGAGGATCCATTATACCTCCAAGCCCACCTTGTCTTCCCCCATGTTGCAGCAACTCTGCACTTTCCACCCATTTGTTCAAATTCTTCATTCCAACTTGTCTGAAGGAAGCTGACATATCTCCTCTTAATTTATCCTCCCTCAAGTGCCTCCCAGATATATTGGTTTCCCTTTCTTGTATGGCAGCCGAAGCGCCTCTGTCTTATCAACTACTACCCTATTCATTTCCTATATCAAAATTGCATATAAATGCTAATACAGAATGGCATAACCCATGATTAATCTATGACAGCTGCGGTGATGGAATTTGGCACTTAAGCACAGGTTGAGACCCAGCTCCAGAGTAAACTTGATCTATTGGTGGCAGCTTATTATGAGCTGCCTTCATTCCTGCAATAATTTCATTCCTGCAATAATTTTGCTAATCAAAATCCTCTACTGGATTTGTTCCTTAAGAAGGTGCTAAGTTTGCCCTGCATTTCTGCTTACTTTTTTCCTAGAGTCCTGCTTTACTTTTCATTTCATCCCAAATGGGGCTCAATTCTACTGATTCCTATCAAAAAATCCTCCTCTTCCTCCTCCTCATTTTTTTCTTAATAATTCTTCCTTCAAGAATTGAAAGGAATGGCATATTTGTTTTTAGCTGATGAGCTAGGAGTCCCAGTTAAATACAGTGATTAAGGCAACTCTAAAGGTTGACATAATAAGTGCTACCTGATGCATTCACATAAGGCACAATTCCAGCGTTTCCTGAAGTTTGAGCGGCTGTAGAGACATAAGAAAGAAAAAAAGAAATACTGAGTTTTTCGGGTTAGGATAGCATTCTTTAAAGTACTGAGCTGAATTCCAGATAAGAATTGCATGTACAAAATCAACCAACTGTTTATGACTTTATCATTATATTCAACCCACATACCTGTGTCCTTTCCCTTCCTTTCTCTTCCTTGCCTGCCCTTCCCTTCCCTCCTCTCCTCTCCTCTCCTCACCTCACCTCTCACCTCACCTCACCTCACCTCACCTCTTTCCTGCTATTCTTCTAACCAGTTTGGTCTCCATGTTCATCTAAACCAAAACTGTAGTTCCCAACCTTGACTACTTTTTAACACATGCGGACTTCCAAATCCCAAAATTCTCTTGGGCGCTGGAGGATTGTGAGAGTTGACGTCTACATATCTTAAAGTTGCCAAGCACTGATATAAACCTTTTAGCTGACATGTTTTTCTTCCTTCTGCTTTTCAAGTACCATAGCTTCAAACCCTTGGTGGCCAGGCTTATATGACCCAGGGGGATTCAGCAAGCTGTCAATTCTGAGATGGTAGAATATTCCGGGCAAGTTTCCAGGTGCCACCTGCTGTATATTTTTTACAGCCAATTTGCAGATGGCCTTTCTCGGAACCTGCATTTCTTTCCCCTGCCTTCGTGGATTCAGAATTTTCCTTTTTAGCTGCATTCCTTTCTCAAGATGATTTCAATTGGAATAAGCTGAAGAGTCAAGACCTTGTTGATGATCCAAGCTCTGTCACAAACCTTGGAGTACTCATCTCTAATGATCTAAGTGCCAGAGCCCACTGTAACTACATAGCCAAAAAAGGCATTAAGAGTTGTTAACCTAATCCTACGTAGCTTTTTCTCTGGTAATATCACACTACGAACTAGGGCATACAAAACATTTGCTAGACCAATATTCGAATACAGCTCATCAGTCTGGAACCCGGATTATGTATCTGATATTAATACAGTTGAGAATTTCACGAGACGAGTTCTCTACTCCTCTACTTGTTGCAGAATACCTTATGCCACCAGACTTGAAATTCTAGACCTAGAAAATCTAGAACTAGATTTTCGGTCTGATCTAAGTATAGTATACAAAATTATATATTTCTATGTCCTACCTGTCAATGAATACTTCAGCTTCAACTATAACAATACAAGAGCACACAATAGATACAAACCGCACCAAACTTGATTGCAGGAAATACGACTTCAGCAACAGAGTGGTCAATGTCTGGAATACTCTACCTGACTCTGTGGTTTCTTCCCCAAGCCCCAAAAACTTTAACCTTAAGACTGTCTACTATTGACCTCACCCCTTTCCTAAGAGGTCTGTAGGGGGCGTGCACAAGCGCACCAATGTGCCTACCATCCCTGTCCTATTGTTTCTTCTTATTTTCTTATATGTATCCATTTCATGTATTCATAACTATGTTTATACTTATGCCTGTTATCTTATAATCGCTTGACAAAATAAAATAAATAAATAAATTGGAATAATCCAGTCGAAATATCAATATCACAGTTTTCCACAGTGTTTTCCCCTGCCTCTGAAAAATCATAAACCAGCATAATGATCTGAGCCCCAACCTTCCTTGGTCATCAGGTTATGGTTAACTGTGTCTTTGTCTTGAGAGGTTAGAACAGGGGTCTTCAAACTTGACAGCTTTAAGACTTGTGGACTCCAACTCCCAGAATTTCTCCTCTAGTCATGTTAGCTCAGGAATTCTGGGAGTTGAAGTCCACAAGTCTTAAACTTGCCAAGTCTGAAGACGCTTGGGTTAGAAAAAGAGGTTCAGAGAAACTAGACTGTAGTAAAGGTTTTACTGAGGGATTGCTGCTGTTTTCTACATGGTAGTCAGGGATTCTCTGTGTTGGTAACACACGCACAAACACACGCCCACACACGCCCACACTGACTTTGGAGGAGGACTTTTAGAAGTTCTCCATCTCTTCCGACCAAACATTATCACTCTAGTTCAGAGTTTCACCTGTTGCTCCACTGTCACCTCGTTCAGTTTATTGCTTAATAATTAGATTTTCTTTATTTTAAAAAAATAATGTTGGAAGTATCCAATTTTGGACTTTTCCCCTACCGTAAACTAACCCCGCAACTCCTTTTTCTGAAAGAGAAAGTAAGTTTAAAAGATATGGAAGCGTTTCATGCTGACTTGTCTCATATTTCATTATTACTGGAGTTTGGAAGAGTGGTTTCGAAATGAAAATTGTCTGTCCGTGAAGGTCAGCAGCAGCCTGTACTTCTCGCTCCAGTTCATCTGTGTATTATATGGCATGATTAAAAAAACCAACTGGACATTTTGAGAGAACAAAACATGCGCGCACACCTTCCCCCCCCCCTTTCGCGGAAGCAGTGAATGGATGAAAATTGCAGTTCAGCCATCAAGTCATAGATTTCTTCAGCCTTACTATTATTCTAGGACACGCAATTGCAACATGGAACATTACGCTCCTTGCCAGGTTTGGTAAAGATTTCAGTGGTTCATTAATAAAAAGAGGAATTACATAGGAAAAATGCTGTATGGAATATCTTGTTTATTTATAAATTAATGGAATTGGATAGGATAGTGAATAGATTAGTCCCATTAATTTTTAATAGTCATTTTTTAATATGCTTATTATCAGATTTTTATGCCACCCTTTAATTTTCTTGAAAATACCATCTCTCTCCCATCCATCCATCCATCCATCATCTATCTATCCTTTTAACGATCCCAAATCCCTTGTGGGGTGGAGCCTGGGCAACTGAACAGAGGTGTGTGTTTACTGGCCATATGCCTTTCCTGTTACCAATGTGGAGTTATATTCAGCAGATATATTCTCAACCTGCCAAGAGAGAGAAATATCTGCTTTTACCTAGGATCAAACTCACAGCCTCCTGATTGTGAGGCGAGAGCTCCACTTCTAGGCCACCACACCACCCATCATCATCATCATCATCATCATCTTCATCAACATCTATTCTCTCTCTCCCCCCCTCTCTTCACCCCGCCCTCTCTGAAACCGATGAACATACCTACTCCACCCTCCTATTTTCCCCACAACAGCCCTGTGAAGTGTGTTGGACAGAGAGAGCAACTGGCCCTAAGGTACCCTACTGACTTTCATGCCTAAGAACACGTAGTCTCCTTAAATTGAAACATACAGAGCTACTGTGCTATGATGCACACAGCACACACTTTCAAGGCCCAAAGGCCAAGCCTGGTTAGTTGGATATGAACCCCACTAAATACAGAGGGAATTACACTGTAAAGCCCGGGCATGGACACATTCAGATAGTTAGGATTCTTAGCCACAATTCCGGACAGTCCAAGCAAGGCACTTCCCGGTGAGCAAACCATGTTTTCCCAATCGCAGAGCGCTGGGCTTGCAAGGAACGTTGGGAAAATGCAATATTTGCCACAACCCAGATGCTAACATAGAAATGGTGTTTTGCTTTACCGCAAGAAATGAACAACAATTCTCCACCTATTGTATGGAATGAATTAGCATTGTTTCTCTGAAGAAGAGTTAAGATCCAACACTGCCTACCTTCTCTGTTGTGTTTCCTGTGGTTACACTGTAAATAGCCACGGTGTTTTTCAAGGAAATCTACTAAGTGGCTATTGTGTTGTATGTTCTAAGCAGCGGAAATCTCCTTTGAGCTCAGGCCAATTTTGACATTTCCAATCAGGCCATATTTGTATTGTTTTCACAAATACCATTCCCAAAATGATTTGGAATTAATTGCCCCCCTTCAGGAGGCTCTTCAATTTCTCAATTTAGTTACAGCGCTAGAATTTTCAGAGGTCTCCCTTCCAAGATATAACCAAACCTGATCCTGCTTAGCTTCTGAGCCAAGACAATGTCAACCTGATACCAACTGTTGTGTTTGTTCACCCAACACCTCACAAAAGACCACAGAAAACCATATATTAACAGGTAGCAATTCCTGAACCTTAATTTCATGAATTTCCCCACCCACCCAGTATTCTTTGAGATGGTTATGCCCTAAAACCATATCATTTGCAACGAGCCTGGACTTCAGCCTAAATAGGCTGTTTATGAATACACCAGTGGATGCAACATCACAACAAGCATGCAAACGCAGGGGAAAAAAACCAACCAACCAACCAATTGTTGATTCCCGACTTCAACCGATTCCCTCCTGGGATATATGGAGGACTCTCTCTCCCCAATGCTGCAGTTGTCACTGCACCCACATTGGGGGTGGGGGCGAAGCCACCTGGAAACCACCAGGATTTGTTTTCCAGTAACCCTGGCGAGGGGACGGGGTGGTTAAATAGAAACGGTAGCTCCAAGCAGCTGGCATTTTAAATGGCAAATATTTACATGAGCTAAACCCGGAGCGTTGGGGGGGATCTGCTGCGTGCAGAAGCGCACCAACGCGCCTACCGTCCCTGCCCTGTTGTTTCTTTCCGTTTTTCTTCTATGTATCCGTTTCATGTGATGCATTCATAACTATGTGGATACTTACGCCTGTAATCTTATCATCGCTTGACAAAATAAAATGAAATAAAATAAATAATGGTAAATGGATCCTTCCCCTTTCCCTCCCTCCCTTCTTCAGCACTGCTGCCAGAGTCTTACCTGGTCCTAACCAGACAGAAGCGATAAAGGAGGAAAAACAACCACGATGCAGCCCGAAAAAACCCAGACAACCCAGCAAAGCGAGGTCCGGGCATCCTGTTGCTGTGGAGCCAAGGCTCCGACCGACGACCCCCAAGCCGACCCCAAGCCTTCCTTCTTCCTGGCCCATCAGGCTCTCCAGCCCTTCCCTCCCTCTAAGCCCCCCCCCCC